AAGTCTGTCACATCATTTGGGGCAGGCCCTCCACTCCCCCCACCCCCCCACCCCCGTGTATCTAGGCTGAGTGAGTAACCCTCCATAGGGAATGGGCTCCCAGAGTACATTCCCACAATAGGGATAAATACTGGTTCCACTGCCAGAAGTTCCATAGACTGCCCAGGCTGACACCCACATTCAGAGAGCCTGGTTCAGTCATATGCTGGTTCCCGGCTGTCAGACTGGGGTCTGTGAGCTCCCACTTGCTCAGGTCAGCTGTTTCTGTGGGTTTCCCCCACCTTGGTCTTGACCCCTTTGCTCATTCCTCCTCCCTCTCTACAACTGGATTCCAGAGTTCAGCTCAGTGTTAAGTGTGAGTGTCTGCTTCGGCTTCCATCAGCTACTGGGTGAAAGCTCATGTTTGTCTTTCTGTGTCTGGGTTACCTCACTCAGGATGGTTTCTTCTAGTTCCATCCATTTGCCTTCGAATTTCAAGATTTCATTGGATTTTGTTTTTTCTCGTTTTTCCCCCTGCTGAGTGGTACTCCATTGTGTAAATGTACCACATTTTCTTTATCCATTCTTCGGCTGAGGGCCATCTATGTTTCTTCCAGGCTCTGGCTATTACAAATAATGACGATATGAACATAGTATGAGTGAGTACATACCATGTTTGTCTTTTCGTGATCAGGTTACCTCATTCAGAATGGTTTCTTCTAGTTCCATCCATTTTCCTGCAAATTTCAAGATCATACTGATTTCCAAAGTGGCTGTATGAGTTGCACTCCCACCACTAGTGGAGGAGTGTTCCCCTTTCTCCACATCCTCTCCAGCATAAACTGTCATTGGTGTTTTTGATTTTAGGTGAAAGATGGTATCTCAGAGTTGTTTTGATTTTCATTTCCCTGATAGCTAAGAATGTTGAGCAATATTTTAAGTGCCTTTCTACCATTTTAGATTCCTCTATTGAGAATTCTCTGTTGTTTAGTTCTGTATCCCACTTTTTAATTGGATTATTTGGTGTTTTGATGACTAGCTTCTTGAGTTCTTTGTATATTTGGGAGATCAGCCCTCTGTCAGATGTAGGAGGGGTTAAGATCTTTCTCATTCTGTGGGCTGCCGTTTTGTCATGTTGACTGTGTCCTTTGCCTTACAGAATCTTCTCATTTTCAGGAGGTCCCATTTATTAATTGTCGATGTCAGTGTCTGTGCAGTCTCCTGTACCATTTGTTCAAGGTGTACCTTCCACTATCTCTTCTAAGAGGTTCTGAACCCATTTTCATTTCACATAAAGGATGTGTTTCTGTGTGAATGACATATAGATTTGACATTTACTATTTCTTATGCTTTATATCATTTGCATATAGTTTCTGCACATTGGTGATAGAAATCACCTCTTTGAATATTAAAGAGTCAACATGGAATCTGCTCTCTTCAGTGCTGGAGAAATGAATCAGCAATAAAGAGTGTGCACTATGCTCACAGAGCCTAGAGTTAAAGTCTCCAGCCACTAGATCACTGATACCTGTAACTCCAGATCCAGGGATATGATGTCCTCTTCTGGAATCCCCAGGCACTGCACACATGTACGAAATTTAATAATAATAAAATAAATCTTAAAAGCACTTTGCCAGACACCACGTATTGGAGGCTTTGTCTCCTCTGGGATGATGTTATGCTGGAGGAAACATAACATGTTCCAGCTCTGTAGAATTATCTGCCTTTCCACATGAGTTCTTCTGAACCACTTTCACAGTGACAATGATTGCAACTACTTTAATATCTTCACTGTACCTATGCATATTAACCAACATATGGGTCCACATTCAGACCTTTGATATAAATAATTTTCCTTTGCTCTTGAATTACCCAGGATTGTGTATTTTGTTCTGGAGAGAGAGAGAACGGTTAAATAAATATGCTTATTTTTCAGCACAAAGTATTAGGTAAGGGACCTGAAGTTTTTGTTTTCCAACATGTGCTGGGGATGGCTAAATAAACACTTTCAATGTAAAAAGGAATGCTCATACTTGTTGGTTCACGGGTATTTTTGTCTCAGCTTCTGGATGTATATCAACACTTTGCACAATTGGTTCTCACAATCCCTACTCAGTAAATGCTATTCTTTTTTAACAAAATCTACCATTCATAAATTTTTGTTGGTTACAAATACATTTGCATTATAATACCTCTGATTAGTTCTCCTAAAGTTTCTTCTAAATACCAAGAGAGAGGAAGAAATAGACTTTCCCAGAGGTGAAATCCTAATTGATTTTATAATACCAGTTTGTATAGAAATCAAACTATACAATTATTATGAACTACCCAGATAGAGGTATTTAATGAATGTCATCAATGAAGGTTGGAAGTGGTTTTGGGGTGGATCTTGAATTGAGTTTTAAAATCTATCTGTGTTTATAGTCCCATGAACATCATGTACAATTTATATATAAAGGAAATAAATATTTGCCTCAGATCTCAAAAAAACAATAATACCAGTTTATAAGCCTTGAAATCACATTAAATTGACTAAATAAGTTTTACTCTTTTATACAAGCATGTGGGGTTTAATAATAAAAAAAGAGGACATGAATTTGAGAGGGATCAAGTCAGTAGTACATGGAATGTGTTGTAGAACGGAAGGGATTGGGGAAAATTTATAGTTATATTTTAATTAAAATAAAAAATACATTATACACCAAAATGTACAGGAATAATGCTCACACTCAGTGCATTGCATCTGTCGGTAGCAACTTAATCCTTTCCTTAGATGAATTTTTACAATCCAATGTATTAGGAAACTGTAGTGTTTATCTTATCACTGAAACCTGTCATTGCCTCACTCAGTTTGCCATCCTTTGTTACGATAAATCTTTCCACCAAAAGCTGCCGAGCCCCATCACCACATGTGCCCTTTACACCAGCCACCTGCCTGAGTTAGGGCCCCAATTAATGCACAGAGAGCCTTGTATTAGGTTCAAATGCTGCTTGGCCAATGACTAGGATTTCATCTGTTAGCTCAGTCTTAATTATCATAAATCTATATATTTTATAAGACTTATCTTATAGAGGATGCCTTTCGCTGGCACCCTCCCTTGCCAGTGGATCATATTGTGCCGCTGCAGCAGGAGCTGAGGGGAAAAGGGGACATGTCCTGTTTCTCCTTGCTCAAATATGAGTCTCCTTGCTATGTCACTTCTGGCCCGGATCACCACTTCTCTACTACATTTCCCAGAATCCTCTTTGATTCCTAGTCCTGTCTAACTTGCTGTTTCATTGGCCAAACAGAACTTTATTAAACAATCAATAAGATAAACATACATAGAAGTACTTTCCCCAGGGGCTGGAGAGATGGCTCAGAGGTTAAGAGCACTGGTTGCTCTTCCAGAGGTCCTGAGTTCAATTCCCAGCAACCACGTGGTGGCTCACAACCATCTGTTATGAGATCTGGGGCCCTCTACTGGTGTGCAGATATACATGGAAGCAGAATGTTGTATACATAATAAATAAATAAAATCTTTAAAAAAAAGAAGTACATTCCCCATCAATCCTTCACAATCTAAGCTGAGTTTCAAGTCTCCTGCTATTTCTATCTGTTCTTACCTGTGGCTCATATCCATGTCATAGCACCCCACAATTGATATTGGTCATAGGATCAAAAGTCTTGACTAGAAGAGGATATTTATAATTATGTGCAGTGAAAAGCAGTAGTGGTGTGTCTTCCCCTAGGCAAGAAAATTCTCACAATCCCATGCGGTGGCTCCAGGGTATAGTGTACACTAAATACTTGGCACCTCTTGTTAAATCCCTGGATTGTATACCATCATTAATTCTTGGTTGTAGGACTTAACACAAGTGCATCAAACTACATTCCAGTCAACACTACGTCAAGTATTTATATTCATTTATTTCTGCAGCATCACATACACAGTCATAGAAGTATTGATGAGATGTATGAAATCTACATGTAATAGTTAGACATGAATGTGAAATGTTGTTTTAGTTGTGGATGTGTTCACACAGACTCAGGAAACTGAGGCTACAAACTGCACTATACAATTGCAGAATTTACCCAGTTTTTTTTCTTCGCTGAGACACAGCTGGTTGCCACTCTTCAAGCTGTGTTGGATCCTTGAGCATGTGAGCAGGAATTAAGGTGAGAATTCAACCTGAAGACTTGAATCTGGGATGCCACAGTAGAGTCTCAGAAGCACCTTCTTCAACCCTTCAGGGCAGCAACCTGACACTGTGAACATCTTTCATCAAGAAAGTGAAACTCGCTTGGATGCGCACCCACTGGGAAAGGTGAGTGCTTGTC